GTAGAGGGGGTTATAGGAGGTTGTGTGTCGTTGGGTCAGTCTTACGTAATTTCCACCTACTGCACATGAGCTATTAAGGGAAGGGAGTCTGCTAATGGATCTTTAAGGAACTCTAAATCTTTTTTTGTTCAGACGCTAAATAATTGGAGATAAAATCTTTATTATGGCAGTTTTTTCTTGTCTCGGATAATCTATACGATGGAAAAATGCCCTTCCCCCCTGATCTCCCTCCCTCCCCGACTCCCTCACCCATCCTTCCCTCCTTCTCCCCTGCCTCCCTCGTCCTGCCCTCCCTCCTCCCCCCTTCTCCCTCACTCTACCCTCCCTCACTCTGCCCTCCCTCCCTCCTCCCCCCTTCTCCCTCACTCTGCCCTCTCTCCGTCCTCCCCCCTTCTCCCTCACTCTGCCCTCGCTCCCTCCTTCTTTCACATCCCACCCTCCCTCACTTCTTCTCCCATATCCCACCCTCCCTCCCCCTGCCCTCCCCTTCCCCTTCTCCCCCAACCCTTGTTTTGGCCGCAGAAGCAGATGATATAAAATGCCTTAACAAACAGAGGCGCCTCCCCCGTTGCCGCCCCGTATAAACTTCATTACAGCCCCCCCTTCCTCCCCCCTTCCCCCCTTTCTAAAATTATTCCAAAGTTAGATATTAATCCCGAGGTCCATGGGTCTTAAAGTTGGTGGGACCAAGTTGAGGCCCAACTTAGGCGCTCTCTCTCTCTCTCCCTCTCTCTCTCTCTCTCTCTCTCTCTCTCTCTCTCTCTCTCTCTCTCTCTCTCTCTCTCTCTCTCTCTCTCTCTCTCCTCTCCTTCTTCTTCTTCTTCTTCTTCTTCTCTTCTTCTTCTTCGTCTTCTCTCTCTTCTTCTTCTTCTTCTTCTTCTTCTTCCTCTTCCTTTCTTCTTCTTCTTCTTCTTCTTCTTCTTCTTCGTCCTCCTCCTTCTTCTTCTTCTTCTTCTTCTTCTTCTTCTTCTTCTTCTTCGTCTTCCTCCTCCTCCTCCTCCTCCTCCTCCTCCTCCTCCTCCTCCTCTTCCTCCTCCTCCTATTCCTCCTCCTATTCCTCCTCCTCTTCCTCCCCCTCCTCTCCAGTCCTCCCCCTGACCCCCTCCCCCGTCCCCCACCTCCCACCCCAACCACCCATCCTCCCCCACCTCCCCCCCTCGCTTTAAGTTGGGGTTCTCGAGTCTTGCTTGGCGGAGCCCCGTGTGCAATCCTAGGATATCGGATTTCTCCTTCATTTAGCCCTAGGGATTACCGGGGATCTATAATCCTCTGTCTAATAAATTGTGGCATGCTGGTGTCGCCAGGGTAGCGTTTGAGAGGGGGGAGGAGGGGGGGAGGGGAGGTGGAGAAGAAGGAGCAGAGGGAGGAAGTGGAGGGTGAGGAAGAGGGGGAAGGGGAGGTGGAGGTGGATGAAGAGGGGGAGGGGGAGGGGGAGCGGAGGAAGAACGGAGGAAGGAAGAAAGGGAAGGGAAGGAAGAACAGAGGGGGGCAGGGGAGCGGTAAATATGGGGATAAAACGGAGGATTGATGAGAAAAATTATGTTAAAATGTTAATGAAATTACTTATAGCTTGTAGTGATTAAATTAGTAACAGGAATCCCCCCCCCCTAAAAAGAATAAGGAAAAGACCGAGGAAATATTCATAGACAGAAGGAAAAAATGGAAGGGAAAAATGGATGAGAGACGTGATAACGACTATGGAATAATAATAAAAAATGTCGAGGTTATGGTGACAATAGAATGAAGGAGGGAAGGGACAAAAAATGAATGATTATCGGGAAGTGTGATGAATGGCAGAGTGCGGAATATACGAGGAGAAAAGGGAGAGTTCTTGTATTTTATTTATATTTGTTGTTTTCTCCATTTCATTGGGGTTTCTTCTCGATTTTTATGTTCAGGGATTGACATGGGTAAGAAGAGGAGGAAGAGTGATGTGTTACACACACACAATCTCTCTCTCTCACACACGCGCTCGCGTGCGCATATATATATATGTATTTATTTATTTATTTACTTATACAGATATACAGAGAGAGAGAAAGAAAGAGAGAGAGTGAGAGCGAGAGCGAGAGCAAGAGTGAGAGTGAGAGTGAGAGTGAGAGTGAGAGTGAGAGTGAGAGAGAGAGGGAGAGGGAGATGGAGGGAGGCAGACACACATAGAAAAGAGGAAAGCTAATGCAAGAAATATGAGGATCCGCAAGATTTTTCAGGAGTGATGAAGGAGGAAAAAATGAAACTTTTACGCGAAAAGATTTTGAAATTATTGGATGGGAAGAGGTACTTTCGGGTAGTTTGGGGAGTCTGTTGTAGAAAGGGGGGTAAAGAGGACGAGAAATGGAAGGGATGCTGAGCGGGAGAAGAAAAGGAATGAGGTAAGGAGGAAGAAGAAAGAATAGAAGAAAGGTTAGAAAAGTTAAGGTGGACAAGGAGAGAGGGAGAGAGAGAGAGAGAGAGAGAGAGAGAGAGAGAGAGAGAGAGAGAGAGAGAGAGAGAGAGAGAGAGAGAATGGTAATGATGACGGATGTACAAGCTAGAGCTCAGAGGTTGTAGTCAGTTCCAGAACTAAAAACGGCACCGGGGAGAGGAAAGCGCAACGCAAAAATATGCGAGACCGTAAGAAAAGATGGAAAGAGAGCAAGTGTGGAGAGAGGAGTAAAGTAGAGGTTTATCCTTAATCCTCTGTTCTGTATACCCTAAAGTGTGCAGGAGAAAGAGAGAGAAAGAGAAATAGACGAGACAGGACAAAGACAAAGACGAGACAACACAAGATAACACAGGATAACACAAAGGCAGAGCATGTCAGAAACGGACAGAAAGACCAGACAGACAGACTAACGGACTGAGAGTAAGAGCCTCTTCCCTTCCTCCTTTACCCCCCATCCGCTCCCCTCCATCCTCTCCCCCCACCCGAACGATAGTGATAGGAGAAGTGCGGAGGGATTACGCCCAGCTGTGATCAAGTATTGTGTAAATCCCGGCGGGTGGGCGTGGAGGAAGGGGTGGAGAGGGGAGGTGTAGAAGGGAAGAGAGGGAAAGGAGAGTGAGAGGGGGAGAAAGAGAGAGAGGGAGGGAGGGAGAAAGAGAGAGAGAGATAGAGGGAGGGAGGGAGGGAGGGAGGGAGGGAGGGAGGGAGAAAGAGTGAGAGGGAATGAGGAAGGCTGGAAGTAAGAGAGGAAGAAAGAAAGAGACTGAGAAAGTGAGAGAAAGAGGGAGGGAGAGGGAGATACAGAGAAAGAGAAAGAGAGATTCATGTGTATATATATATATATATATATATATATATATATATATATATATATATATATATATATAGAGAGAGAGAGAGAGAGAGAGAGAGAGAGAGAGAGAGAGAGAGAGAGAGGGAGAGGAGGAAGGAAAGAGAGGAGCGGGAAAGTGAAAGACACAGACGTATACGTAGAGCTAGATGATAAGGGAAGAGAAGGGAGAAGGATTAGGAATTTAAACGTAAAAGAAAGGGTCGGTGGAGATATTAATAAAAGCAGAAGTAAAATAAAGCGTCAGAGGTGGACGAAGAAGAAACACAAACTAGAAAGAGAGAAAAAGGAGAAAACGCGGACGGACAACCACTTCCAGCATCAGTCATGTTACCCACCAAATGCATTAATTTTTTGCAACACTTTAACAAACCTTTTAATCAAAACTTCAACATTTCCCTTCCGCTGCAAAAAAAGAGAGAGAGAGAGAAAAAGAAATAGTTGGAGAAAACTCTTGAGAAATACTTTGGGAAAAGAAGAGAGAGAGAGAGAGAGGGAGAGTGGGAGAAAAATATCACGTAAAATCTCGTAATTTCGCATCATAAAAATCCAAAACTTGCGAGATTGTTATCAGTCCTTGGAGCACTGGTTAGCTAATGGGAGGGTGTGGGGGGAGGGGGGGAGAGGAAGGGGATGGGCGTGTGTTTTGATTTATAAAAGTTTTCTCCCCCCCCCCCCCCTTTAAATTTGAATATGGGGTTGCGCCTTTCGTGTCGCAGTTGAAAGGGGAAAAGAAACCATTACTATAACTCAAGAGCCATTCTTTAAACTTTTATTTTACAAAATTGCTCGAGAGGTATTTTTAGGGGAGGCGATCGCAGCAGAGTATCCATAAGAATGAGCAGTCTCATCCGAATAAAACAGGAGAAAAATACGGTGTTGGAAATATAGAAAGTGAAATAAGGAAAGGGTAGAGATAAAGTCCCATACCAGAAGAGCGAGTCGGCACCATGTAGCAGAGGCTGCGCGGGAGGGCAAGGGCGGGGGGGAGGGGGCGAAGGAGAATCACGAGCAGGCTGTTACGCGCGCCTGTTATGATTGATAACAAACAATCATAGTGAATCTCATCCCGGCCGAGGATCACTTCACTCTGACACCCTCCGAGGCAGGGTTTACACGGGCCCGGAGTTCATTAGAGTGGCGGGGCTGGTGTTATGACTCCCTCGTCGATGCGCCCTCGAGATGTGGGTCGGGGCGAGGCGTCCGTCTTGCGCGATGCTCACTCCGGCCGAAGGAGCGGGGGGAAGGGCGGGGGAAGTGGGATTGGGGGGGAGGGGTCATAGGGATGATTGTGGTGGTGGTGGGGATGGTGGTGATTGTGGTGGTGAGGTGGTGGTGGGGATGGTGTGACTGTGGTAGTGAGGTGGTGGTGGGGATGGTGTGATTGTGGTGGGGAGGTGGTGGTGATTACGGTGGTGAGGTGGTGGTGGTGGTGATTGCGGTGGTGGGGATGGAAATGATTGTGGTGGTAGTGGTGATGGTGTTGATGTTGTCGATATTGATATTGTTCTGATTAATGGTTAGTCATCATTACCATCGTGATAACTCCGGTAACCATGTTTATGTTATGATGATGAGGTAAACGTTCATACAGTTTATGCTGTAATAATTATTGCTATCATTAGAATTAGAATTATTATTACCATTTATCTGACATTACATTTTCCCTCGTCTATAACATAATTCTATTAAGCAATGACGTAACCTTACTATCTCTTCTTACAGGTTGATGAACTAGAAGCGCTGCAGGTGCTTGAGGTAGGTCTACGAAACCCCACGGACGAAACCTCACTGGAATAGCAGATGTAAGAGGAAGGCCTACTGGTGATAGGAATTCGTTGGGGAGAGGGGAAGAGGAAGAGGGACGGTTATGGTACGGGGGTGGAAAGGGGAAAGAGAGAGGGGAGGGAGAGGGGAGGGAGAGGGAGAGGGGAGGGAGAGAGAGGAGAGAGAGGAGAGGGAGAGGGAGAGAGAGGAGAGAGAGAGAGAGAGAGAGAGAAGAGAGAGAGAGAGAGAGAGAGAGAGAGAGAAGAGAGAGAGAGAGAGAGAGAAGAGAGAGAGAGAGAAGAAGAGAGAGAGAGAAAGAGAGAGAAGAGAGAAGAGGAGAGAGAGAGAGGGAGAGGAGAGAGAGAAGAGAGAGAGAGAGAAGAGAGAGAGAGGTAGAGAGAGAGAGAAGAGGAGAGAGAGAGAGGAGAGAGAGAGAGAGGAGAGAGAAGAGAGAGAGAGAGAAGAGAGAGAGAGAGAGAGAGAGAGAGAGAGAGAGAAGAGAGAGAGAGAGAAGAGAGAGAGAGAGAGAGAAGAGAGAGAGAGAGAGAGAGAGAGAGAGAGAGAGAGAGAGAGAGAGAGAGAGAGAGAGAGGAAAAGTAGGGAGAGAAGGCAGGAGGAGAGTATAAAAGAACAGCAGAGAGAAGAGAGCAGAACAAAGTGGAGAGAGACGAGAGATGAGAGAGAGAGGTAGGCGGGGAGTTAGGGGGGGGGGGAGCCAGTACTTCGTTAAGAATTAAATTAGAATTTATAGCATTAATCAACGCAGAACAATTCCCTGTGCAGATTGCAATGGGCGGTAATTCTTCATTGTCATTCTTTACGTTGCAGGAAATATAATTTTTTTATTTTCGAGCAACAGTGCAACCCCTGTTACCTTTATTTACCTTTATCTTTATTTAATGTTATCTTTCATTTAGTTATCTTTATACATTATTATATTCTTACATTTATCTTGTGCCTACCGAGTCTGATTGATTCCGTAACAATTTGTACCAAAGCTTGTAGTTTGCCTTCAGGGTTAAACGCAACTGCACCGCATTACATCACGTCTGCCGCAGCTCCCTGCAACTTCGTATACCTTGGTGTCACAGTCAGCTAATTGAATGCTTGCAGCGCTTAGTTTGCATACATGGGGGCGAGCAGGCAGGCAAGCAAGCGACTACTCGGGGCATCTGATGTATGCTTGCGAGCCTCTCCTTGAGTGACTCACACTCACCACAGAAAACGTTTGTTGTGGGGGAGACTAAGCTGAGTTTGCTGCCCGGTCTCTCTTTCTCTCTCTCTCTCTCTCTCTCTCTCCCTCCCCTCTCTGTCCCTCTCTTTCTCTCCCCCCTCTGTCTTTCTTTCCCCTCCCCCCCCCCCTTCTCTCTCTCTCTCTCTCTCTCTCTCTCTCTCTCTCTCTCTCTCTCTCTCTCTCTCTCTCTCTCTCTCTCTCTCTCTCTCTCTCTCTCTCTTTCTCTTTCTCTTTCTTTCTTTTCCAGGGCCCCTCTATCTTTCTCTGCGTACCTCGTATTTTTTCTGCATGCTTGTCTGTCCTGTTTCTGATTCTCTACACACACACAAACACATACATACATATTCGTGTATGTATATGTATGTATATATATTTTTATTTATATATATATTTGTATTAATATTTATGTTTATGTTTATATTTATATGCACAAGTATCCAAATGTATGAGCTCCTTGTGGTTGAGGCCCGTTTCCTCCTCTTTCCTACCCCCCGCCCCCCTGTCCCTTCCTGTATCGGCCCGGCCTTCCCTTCAGCCTCGCCGGTCACTTTGAGCGGCCACAGCACGGGCCCGCTTCACAGTAGGCCTAATTGATGTTCGCCATCCATATGTCCCGTGAGACTTTTATATATATGTATTTCTTTCTTACGTGGCTCCATTTTGTTCTTTGTAAGAAAAGAGAAGAAAGTGTTTTTTGATCTTTAAAGGAGTGGTGGTAAAAGCTTAATTGTTACTGGTTCGGGAGGAAAGGAGAGTAGACCTACGGTAGAGCAAGAGAAAGAACGAGAGAGAGAGAGAGAGAGAGAGAGAGAGAGAGAGAGAGAGAGAGAGAGAGAGAGAGAGAGAGAGAGAGAGAGAGAGAGAGAGAGAGAGAGAAAAGAGAACAGATACAGAATAAGAAAGTAACAGACGAGCAAAGAAAATCAAGAACGATAGAGGGCGAGAAGGAGAAAAAAAGCATCACCGAGGCGTGGCAAGTAAACAAAAGCGCTCTGGAGGCATCTGTATCAGTAGCATAAGCCACCTCCGGAACTGCCGTATCACAGGAAAAAACGCGTCACATAAACAGCCTTAAGATGGAGAGAAAAGTTTTTTTCTTCCCGGGGACTTTCGTCGCCTATCGTTCGTTCCTTCCCCCGTGTCTCCGTAACCCTGGCAATCTCTGGGGTCGAGAGGCGGGGGCATGGGGGCGAGGGGGGCGTTGGAGGTGCAGGTTTAAGAAGG